ATTTAAGTAGATATGGAGTGTTTATTTAATGCCTTTGCTAGTCATTCTGCCTTTGCTATAATTCTTGAAGGACATTTTATGGTTGCATTCCAATATCCAAAAGATCTAAAAGATTTGCTCACATGGATCCCTCACATCATCCAGATGATAGTCATTCTCTCCTCATTCATATCCTGATGCTGTTAAGCTCTCTACATTAAGAGTTCTCTGAGTTCAAGTCATGCTATCTCTGGCTTAGGCTGTGGTCCTAATTTTTTATTACTATCAGAAGCTTGCAAGTTTTCTTTTCCTTAAATGAGATTTGAGATTTTTTTTTTTAAATTTTTGATTTCAGTTTCTTTACTTCTCATAAACTTTTAGAATGTGAAAGCTAGGGCCACTGAGAAACCAGCTGGTGGCCTGCAGTTGAGGTTCTCATTACAGACATGTTTTGTTTTGTGGGTGGGAGTCCCCCACCTCTCAATTAGCCTGAAAAGCTTGAAATGGGACACGCTTTCCTCTTTGCCCCAGGTTTCTTTTATTCTCCAGGGTGGATGAACTGTTCTAAGAGTCTTTCAAATTCTTTTTCCCTGGACATTTAAAAAATCATCCTGTATTCCAGAAGAGCTATAACTGCCTTAACATTGAGCTTGGGACTGACCTACTTTCTTGTATAGATCAAATGATTCCATTCTCATTGTGCAAAAATAACAAAATTAATAATCGTATCATGATAAAGAACACTGTAAATGTTGTTGTTTGTGAAGTATACAATTCATGGTTCAGTACAATAATCCCATGGCTAGGGAGGTAGCAATTAAAAAAAATTTTTTAATTGCCAGAGGGTAGGTACACTCACCAGTGAGAGGGAAGGAGTCCCTCCCAGTGGGGATGGGGTCATGATCCTTTTCTTTTTATTTCTCCATCCCGTCACAATCTTGAGCATGCATGACCAAGCATGTTTTTCAAGGTATTGGGCCTAGGACTTGGACTGTGCTGGGCCATGTGAGATCTTGCTCCCCGTACATAGTGTTTAAGTGCTATACCATGTGGCCAGCCCTTTTCTCCATATTATGGATGGTAGGTAATGTACCTTGATGATTAAGAGTATAGGTACTGGTAGATAATTAAAGTTCAAATTTCATGAGCTTTAGGAATTATTAGCCTAATTTCAACTAAGTCCACTCAGTTTTGAGCCAATAGGTAGCATAGTGGTTAAAGTGCTGGACTGCCACATGGCTGCCCACGGTTTGAATCCTGGACCTGGTGACTTGAAACTCAGTGCAGGGCACATGTGCATGTGTGCTTAAAATCCAAAGAGGAGCTGGAGGAAAGGGGATTGCGATGTCACCATCTCCCTCGGGGTGATTTCTTGTTTTCTGTCTCTCTGTCTCCCTGGTAAGCACATGTGCTCTATAGCAAAACATCTCTCTTAAACACACACACACACACACACACACACACACACACGTACAAGTTTCCTTATCTATAAAACTGAGAGATAACAATTTGATAGGATTGTTTGAAAAGTAAATAATTCAGGCAAAGTAACAGAACAGTACCTAGTATATAGTAAGTGCTCAAAGTTTAAATAATCTACTTAAGGTCACACAGCTAGTAGGTAGGAAAGTTAGGGCTTGGACAGAGATATGGAAGCTTCTGGTCCTGGTTTCTTTCTGTATTTACTTTTATATCCCTCATGCATCTAGGGGATCTGTAAATTGAGTTATTCTTTCTTTTATCTTTCAACTTCTTTTCTTTATTGTGTGTGTGCACTCTCTCCATTTTGAACTGTTGAGTATTATCTATTTAGTAATGGGATCCATCTATCAGAATTCAGTATAAGAGGTAGTAACAGGTATAGAGATGTCCCTGCACTGCAGGTGAATTTTTCTGATACAAATTTCCCAGGAATTCTCCTAGGGACTTCTAGAAGATCCTTCAGAATTCAAGATACTGGGTTTCCTCTGAATTTTGCCAGATTGTCTGAAAAATTAAAATTCTCTTTGTAATAAAGTATGTAATTATGGCCACACAGTATATTAAAAAAAAAAAAGAGCATACTTTTTAAATAATGGCCTAGTTTCTTTTCTCTTAAAAGTAACAGTTCTTAAATTTTGGTGAATCTCATTTTTTTCATTCTCTTTGAGGTAGTGAAAAATAGGTTACATTATGTCCATTTTGGGAGGAGAAGATCACTGTGAAAAGAACATAGGCTTTAGAGTCAGAAGGTTGAGGTTCAAAATCTGGCTCTTTCTCTTCTAGTTATATCCCTCTAAGTCTCATTTTCCTCATCTGTATAATGCTGATAGAAGAGAGTTATTCAGAGTTTGAAGGAGTGAATGCTCACAAAGAGAAAGTGCCTGGTACTTAGTATACGTCACACATATGTGGCAGTCTGTAAATGTGACTGCTACTGCTGTTGAAGGAGGTGACTTTTCACACTGGCCCAGGGGTCACAGTTAGGAGAGCATCCAGGTCTCACTAATTCCTCACCAAATACCAAATGTACTGCTTTATCTGGATACATGGTTTCTCTCATTTGAAATCCAAGTGTTTTGGGACCAGCAGTTGGCATAATGGCTATGTTGCTGGACTCCCATGTAGTCGACCGTGGTTTGAGTCCTGGACCAGGTGGCTTAACTCACGCCGGGCGCGTGTGCTTGCGTGCCCAAGATCCCGAGAGGAGAACAGAAGGGATTGCAGCGTGGCCACCCACTCTGGGGGGTGATTTCTCACTTTCTGTCTCTCTGTCTCTCTCTGTCTTTCTGGCGAGCACACATACCCTATAGCAAAAACCTCTCCAACAAAAGAAAAAAAAAAATCCAAGTGTTTTGACCTTCTGGTTACTGATTTTTAATGTGCCTATTATGACATGTCATTGGCTCCATTTGTCAGCAGGCCATGTGCAGTGCCCATTATATCAAAGATTCTAAGTTTACCTTGTGTCACAAGACAAAGTTAATGTTAGTGAATACACATGACCAACAAGCTTATAGACTCTGTCTGATGGTGTATGGGCAGCCATTCTCATAAAATAAAAGTAGCAGGTGTTTATTTAGGATTTATTACATGCTTAGTGTTATGCAAAATAGGGGATAAATAAGAAACGCTACACTTAATCCATGTCTCACATAACTCAAAATTTTCTGGGGAGACAGATGTGATAGAAACATGACACAAGTAAGGAGCATTAATAAACGCTGTGATTCAGCTCTTACTAGTTAAATGGACTCTGGTCTAGGTGATGTATGGACTCTCATAGATTGATAGATAACGAGACAAATAACCACACACTTAAATAATGGTTCAAGAAATGCCAATAGATGTATAAACAGGGAGTTCAGATGACAGATTATATGGTGTGTGTGTGTACATTTGGGTGGTGGTGTGGATCTCAGGGGAAGGTGATGCTTGAGTTGGCTGATGGAAAGTGCCGGAGAGAAGAATATTGAACAAGGAGGACAGAAAATCGTACAAAGAAACTGAGAGCTGAGGGAGCCCAGCAGTGATGAAGAACAGCATTTGTTTAGTATTCCTGAAGGCTGGAGCTTAGAGTTTACAGGAGCAGTGGTGAAAGAGAAGGCTGGAGAAGTGAGCAAGAGTTAAGTCATTGAAGACCTTGTATACCTGCTGAGAATTATGTGCATAAAGGTGTTGACAACCAAGCAAGTGAGGAATGATAATTTTCATTATCTCATAATAATCACTCTAAGAACACCTTATAGTAGAATGGGTGAGAAATAAGGGCCTGAATCAAGTCTTTTTTTGAGAGAGAGATTTTTTGCTATAGGGCATGTGCACTCACTGGAGAGACAGAGACAGAGAGATAGAAAGTGAGAAATCACTCCTCAGGGAGGACGGCCATGCAATCCCTTCTCCACTTTCCTCTTGGGCATGCATGCACACATGCCCAGTGTGAGTTTTAAGCCACTGGTTACGGTACTGGAACTGCAGTTGACTACGTGGGAGTCCAGCGAAGTAACCATTATGTCATCTGCTGGTCCCAAGGGCGTGAATTAAGTTTTAGAGGAATGAAAAAGTGAATGAATGAATAATAGTGCAAGTAAATAGATGATGCTAGCTAAATACATTGTAGAAGTTCAAAAAGAGGTCACCATAGTGGAGAATAATATTTAAGGATGACTCCATGATGGAGGAAGATTTGAATGGCCTGTCTGGGGACTTGCCCATAGTAGTTAGCTAGCAAGCTAGGTATTGAGCTGCAGTAGGATTTATATAGGAGAGAAGACAGGAATTAACACCAGGCTGCATAAACATGTGTGTGAGGTCAAGGAGACAAATCTAGCTGAAAAGAATGGTAGATGCTACAATTTCATATGCAAATTTGTCTCAGATTTTCGAAGGCTTTGAAATGCCAGGTTGAGGAGTTTACATTCATTTCTTTATCAGTAGGAAGCCACTGATGATTCTTAAATTGATATATGGAGATTTTCAGTTTGGATCATAACTGCATTCCTCTATTGAGACCCATCATCTTGGTTAGAGGAAGATAGTTCGGGTAAGCTGACACTAGTTCTGAGTCTTATATTAAATGGAAATGGCAGAAAGCCAGGATTAATTTAGTTGGGAAAATAAAGGCAGATGATCTGAATTTGGCTATGGGTAGAATCTGGAATAATCCATTGTGGTAGACAAAGAAAGTTGAGGCAGAAATGGATAAGTGCCCAGTGAGATTTTGAGTGATATCAGTCTAGAGAAAGATGGAGTAAACAGAAATATAGGAAAAACTGCTTGCCCTGTGGAACCTTTTAGAGATAGCAAAAATAAAAAGCATGCACTGTCGATATATTTCATAGCCATCCATTACTAATTAATTTTGGTATGTTTTCTTGTTGGGTTCAATGGTGGTCTGGAGTCCTTGATATTGCAATGTTCTTGGCAGCTATTCATCCATCAAAGTTGGCATCAGAATTCAAATCTATTTGTCATGCCTAGAGTAAGAAATAGATGAGAAATATGACTGGATTCACAGTACAAATCAACTTTTACTCTTGCAGGTGGAGCTTGCAGAAATCTGCGCCAGGAGTGAGCGGTATATTGGCACTGAAGGAGGAGGCATGGATCAGTCCATATCATTTCTTGCAGAAGAAGGAACTGTAGGTGGCACTAAGCTATTTGGAAATACCAATTAGGGAAGGTTACATGGGGGGAAGGCCTTCAGATCTCCAGCATGCTTGTTTCTGGGCAGCCTATTCTATTAGGTTCTGTTGTAGGCTATTTCCCAACTGCTTTGTAACTCAAGGTTCCTGCCAGTTAACCTACTCTGTTTCATGCTGATTGCCTCTCCTTTAATCTTCTAGAATTATACCTCAGGTCTTCTATTTTTGTCATGTGTCTAGTTGTTTGTTTGTTTTCTCTTTTCTATTTCTTTTCATTGTTAAGATGAGATTTCATAATTCCCTAGTTATCAGGACCTCCTTTCCCTCTCCTATCCTAAATCACTTCATCTCATAGCTTTTTCATAATCTCCTGTTGGTTTTAAACCCAAATGTTAGTTCTCTTACCACATATATTCACAACCCCTCTTTTTATAATTTACTCTTTGGTATCATTTTTCTCCATCAACATTTCTGGGGCTTCGGCGGTGGGAAAAAGAATGTTGACGGTAAGCCAGGAATGAATTCCTTAGCTGAATACTGCTTCCCCTTGGCTATCCAACTCCATTAGCAGAGCAGAGGTTTTGGTTGTTGTCCATTTCCAAAATAGAAGTAGCTATTTCTTTAAAAATCTTTTCTTAGTTTTTCATCAGATTTCTATAGGCTTGGCTGTTTTCTAAAAACACCTAGATTTCTTCTTATTAAGAATACGTGTTGTTGATTCCTCTAAGCCAAAAATATGAGACATGAGGAAATTTGGTTCAATATTAAGAAAATACTCTGGGTGTTTTGGATGAGGTCTGATAGCCAGACATGAGAGCCAGAGTCATGATGTTAATGTAAGTTAGCTATAGATTCTGAACAGAGTCCAAGTTCTTTGGATTTGCAAAGCACTTCACTATCTGACCCCTGCTGTACTCCTCCATCCTAGCCTCTCACTACTTCTTAGCCCTTAAACTCAAAGCTGCAGCCAAATTTTAACACTCTATGTGGTTTATTGTCTCTGGACTTAAGTAAACTCTTTCCTTCTCTTGGCATGCTGTTAGAGGAAAGAAATCCTCAATCCGTCCTACTCTTGCTCATGTTTTAGTTCTCTATTTATAATAGATTTCCCCTTTTCAAAGGAATAGTGCCCACACTAGGCTTTATATGATCAGATGTCTCAACTATGTATCTATACAGTAGCTTCCTGCACTTTGCTACCATTGTAACACAACTTACCTATATTTGTTTGTCTACTTGACTGCTTTTCCACTAGATTGTAGGCTGTCTGAGAGTAGGAATAATGTCTGTCTTGTTTATTATTGTATCTCTAGTGTCTAGTACAGTGCCTACAAATCAATAAATGATATTGAATAAATTAATGCATTTGAGATGACATTTTTAAGGTAAATAAATGCATGAATGCTTAAACATTTTTTGAATTCTATTAAATTATATTTCATTTATCATTTTTCTTCCAATAGGCCAAGTTGATAGAATTTAGTCCTCTGAGGGCAACTGATGTGAAACTCCCAAGTGGGGCAGTGTTTGTGATTGCCAACAGTTGTGTGGAAATGAATAAGGCAGCAACTGCTCATTTCAATATCAGAGTGGTGGAGTGTCGGCTGGCTGCAAAGGTATGAAGTTGGCAAACAAGTGAAACTCAAAGTTGGCTTTTTTGTTTCGTTATTCTCTTTGTTTTCTATTACTTTATCTTGTGTCTCAAATTTTAAGGAAACATTCTGACAGCAGCAACATTCTTTTTTTTTTTTTTTTTTTTTGAGAGGTTGTCACTGTAGGGCGCATAGAGACATAGAGACAGAAAGCGAGAAATCACCCCCCAGGGGGGATGGTCACGCTGCAATCCCTTCTCCTCCATTCTCCTTCTGGGATCTTGGGCACGCACGCACACGCGCCTGGCACAGCAGCAACATTCTAATGGAAGGTCTTGGGTGTGGAGTAGTCTGATTCCAGTCAGGAATCTGATAAACTAATAGGGATGCCCTCTAACTTCTGGAAGCTAGATGAACTTTATAGTTCATTCTTCTGGGGTGACACTGAAGAGAAAAGAACAGCTTGCCTCCATGAAACACAGGCCATGAGTTGGGCCTATGGGTAGAGAAAGATAGTTGGGGACAGTTGATAGTGAGTAAACATAGTTGGTCTTATTTCCTCATCAAACGATGGCAGCTTCACCCCTCCTGGTCTTCTCAGATGTACTTTTTGAATTGAGCTGTTACTGGCCACTCCAAAAACGTAGGTTTGTTACAACCTCCCCATGTACAGGAAGAAGACCTCTACATGTCTGTTATGGAAACAAACCAAAAAGGAATCTTGGTCATTCTCTGTTCCATGGATTAGAAGAGCCTTGACAGTGAAGCCTTAAATCTATTTAGGAAGTAGTTGTGGTACACCTGTGGTACACCTAGAATCATGAAAATATATGAAAGTATATAGGACATAAGGGTAGAAAGAGAATTATGGGACCAGAGACGGCATAGTGCTTGCATTGCTGGACTCCCACGTAGTTGACCACTCAAACCTGGGTCAGGTTTGAGTCCTGGACCCAGCAGCTTAAAACTCCTGTTGGGTGTGTGTGTGCATGCATGTCTAAAATCCCAAGAGAATAGAGGAAATGGAATTTTGTGGCATGGCCTTCTTCCCAGGGGGTTATTTCTCACTTTTTGTCTCTCTGCCTCTCCAGCTAGTACATTTGCCCTATAGTAAAAATCTCTCAAAAATAAAGGTAGAGAAGAATTATAATTAGGGCAATGCCATAGAAAATGGTTAGTGTGTGATCAGGTAGTAAGTAATCAAGTGCTTCAAAAAGTGACACAGAAATGAAATGTTATGGAGGACCAGAATGGCACATAATGGAACTAGAAACTTAGAGAGATCCGAGGCAGGGCTACTGTGGGGGAAGCTTAGGGAATGGATTCTGGGTCAGGAACTCCACTGTGCTTTCTCTTACTCTTGGTTTGACCTCCTGTAGGATACTGATAGTATTACCTGGGATTCATGATCGCCAACCATCATCAGGCTCTAAATACAGCTGAAATCTCTATTTTCAGAAGTAACAATCTCAGTCCTTTTTATTATTCTCAATTCTCATTACCCAACTCATCTTGACTAACTTCCAAAAATGATACTATTCTATATTTTATGTTGGAAATAGATGCGGTAACACAGGCTTTGGCTTCCTGCCACCATATTTACATGCTCTTTGTCTCTGCATCTGCTATCAAAGCCATTCTTCCAGTGCAGTTGTAGGGAGCTCATGTCATCTTTAACCTCTGTCTCTACTGAATTCTTTCCATGGACTTCACACACTCTGGTATTTTGCATTAAAAACAAAAGCAGAAAACTACCTTAGACCTCCCAACTCTCTCCGATTACTATTTATAGTTCTACTTTCTCATTTGCTTTCTCAAAATTTCTCAGCTAAATTTCTCAAAAATTACTCTATATATGTTTCCTTTACTACTTTGCCTCCCTCTCATTTCTTTTTCTACTAAACTCTCATATCTGCCTTCCAAATACTAAATTCGCTATTTCTCAGGTCGCAGATTATTTTTATTGATAAATCCAGTGGATGCTTTTCAGTCTTCATCTTATTCCTCATTGTTATCCCTTTATCTTCCTTTTTTTAAAAAATTTTTTTCTTTTTTGCCATAGGGCATATGCACTTGCTAGAGAGAGACAGAGACAGAGGGGAAGAAAATGAGAAATCACCTTCTTCTCCCATAGGAGGCGGGGGAATGGCCATGACACAATACCTTCTCCTTTATTCTGTTCCTGGGATTTTGGACACACAAGCACATGTGCCCAGTGTAATTTTCAAGCCTCCAGGTCCAGGAATTGAACCACTGTTGGCCATGTGGGAGTCCAGCACCTTAACCAATATGCTGCCTGCTGGCTCCTTCCCTTTTCTTTCAACAAAGTTAACCAATCTCTTCCTGAAACATTCTTATCCTTTTTTTTTCATTGCAATCCATTTACTCTTTTTTCTTCTTCTGTTTTTCTTGCCATGTATTTTTGGTTTTAGTTTTCTTCTCTCTCTCTCTCTTTTTTTTTTAGTTTTATATATATCCACAAGCGCTCATCAAAGAGAGAGAGAAGTGAGAAATCACTGACCCCCAGGGCTGATCCGCCAGGCAGTCCCTTCTCCCCCAGCCTTCTTTGGGGATTTTGGGCATGCACACACATGCTCCCAGTGTGTTTTCCAAGGCACCAGGTCTTGGATCCAAATTGCACAGCTGACCATGTGTGGTCCAGCCACCTGGTCCCTAGTTTTGTGACACCTGCTGGTCCCTAGTTTTTGTTTTATTTGTTTCTTTGTTTATTTATTATTTTTTTTCCGTGGGTGAGGGGATACTAGATTTCACCTTCCTCTAACAGACCTTTAAATGTTGGAGTTCTTCCAAGTCTAGGCTTACCTTTTTTCTTTTCTTTCTTGTGGCCTTTCTTGGATTAATCTTACATCTTCTTGCAGCTTTAATTTCTATCTCTATGTTGATGAATATCGAACGAACATCTTCAACTTAGATCTTTCTGGTTGACCTCTAAACCTGGGTATCCAACACCTTACTGAATATTTTTATTCTAGTGAATCATAAACCTCTCAAACTGGCCATATTAAAATTAAATTCAGTTCTTCCCCTCACCTTTTATTTTTTCATTGGCCTCATTATTTATTGACTATTACATTAGCTTTTTCCCTATTTCTTAATTCCATGGTTGTCTTAAAATCTTATTTAGAATGATACTTTAGAAATTTAAATCCCATTTCATTGCAATTAAGTAAAAAGTCCTTATTATCATCCAGAGAACTGCAAGATCCGAGGCCTATGCACCTCATCCTCTTTATCTCCTCGTGTCCCTTACCAATTATATTTCAGACATGTGACTCATTCTCATCTCAGAAACTTTACACATGTCCAGGGAACTTCTCTGCTAGACCTCTTTAAAGTCTCAGTCTAAATCTCCCTCAGAGAAGCCTCTCTGACATCCTTACTTCAGACTAAGGCAGGACATTTTTTATATTTTATAGCACTCGCATTTTTCAGTTATGGTTCTTACCACAATTATTTGTCTGTACAGCTCCTCTTTGAGACTCAGTTTCTCCTGAGAGCTGAGACTGTGTCCCTCTTGTTGACTTTTATGTACTTAAGGTTTGATGTAGTGCTTAGGCTGATATAGGCAGCGGATAAACATCTGTTGAATAAATGAATGACTACCCTTGTCTTACCTGCTCTTTCCTATTTATTTTGCTCAATTTCACAGTTCTGTTACAAGTGCTGATTATGTGCCCAACGCTGGCCTACAGCTTGTAGAGAGATGTGTAAGGTGTAATTATATCTCATGATTGATTTAGCACTTCTTACTCTCACCTCCTGAAGTTGTGAAGTTGAAGAGAGTGGAGATATGATATCCCAGAAAAATAAAAGTTGTTTATTTCTAAAAAATTTGGGGGCTACATATATAATTAAAAACATGACTTAAATGTTTTAAATTTGGAATTGACTCATTAAGGCAATTTCTGAAAATTATGTAAAATGAATTTTTAACATTAAATTTTTCGTAGCAGCTAATCGGTGCATATATGCAGTAGAAGTAGTGTAAGGAACTTTGTTTACTAGGTTTTGCCAAGGGGTGTGTGCTTTCGCCAGAGAGAGACAGAGAGGGAAAATAAGAAACCACCCCCTAGGGAGAATGGCCACTCTACAGTCCCCTCTCCTTTGGCCTCCTTTCCACTTCTGGGCACATACACATATATGTCTGGCATGATTTTTAAGCCTCTGAGTCCAGGACTCAAACTGTGGTCTGCCATGTGGGAATCCAGTGCCTGGTTGCCACCATGCCTCCCACTGGCTCCTGCAACAAAGTTTTCAATATGAAGGATTCAATGAACTTTTTCTTTCCTTTAAGATATATTTACTTTTTCAGGAGATGGAAAATATTTGTGCTTCATTTGTTTGAGACCTTACAGCTCCTCTTTGAGACTCAGTTTCTCCTGAGAGCTGAGACTGTGTCCCTCTTGTTGACTTTTATGTACTTAAGGTTTGATGTAGTGCTTAGGCTGATATAGGCAGCGGATAAACATCTGTTGAATAAATGAATGACTACCCTTGTCTTACCTGCTCTTTCCTATTTATTTTGCTCAATTTCACAGTTCTGTTACAAGTGCTGATTATGTGCCCAACGCTGGCCTACAGCTTGTAGAGAGATGTGTAAGGTGTAATTATATCTCATGATTGATTTAGCACTTCTTACTCTCACCTCCTGAAGTTGTGAAGTTGAAGAGAGTGGAGATATGATATCCCAGAAAAATAAAAGTTGTTTATTTCTAAAAAATTTGGGGGCTACATATATAATTAAAAACATGACTTAAATGTTTTAAATTTGGAATTGACTCATTAAGGCAATTTCTGAAAATTATGTAAAATGAATTTTTAACATTAAATTTTTCGTAGCAGCTAATCGGTGCATATATGCAGTAGAAGTAGTGTAAGGAACTTTGTTTACTAGGTTTTGCCAAGGGGTGTGTGCTTTCGCCAGAGAGAGACAGAGAGGGAAAATAAGAAACCACCCCCTAGGGAGAATGGCCACTCTACAGTCCCCTCTCCTTTGGCCTCCT